TTTGACTACTCCTAGGTCTTTTATTAAATCTTCCCCTCGAAGATCCATAGCCATGGTTACTACTACTTCTGCTTTGCTATCCAAGTTTATCCAACTTCAAGTATTTCGAGGCAAAAAGATGTAAGAAATTCGTGACTTCTTCCGTTGTGTGCTAATGAAGAGGGTTTCGGAAAAGCTTCAGTTAATGCAAAAGTGACTGTCACTTCTTTACTTCCTCTCTTATTAAAGGATTGCTCTCAGAGAGGAGGGATAAAAGTATGTTGGGCAAATTAAAGGAGCTTCAGTATCGCCATTCTCGTGTATTTGAACCAATGAGGAGCGGATCCGGCTTTAGGATAAGTTTTCAAATTTATGCAAGGAAAGTAGCGTCGGAAAGAGTGAATATGAAGTGGAGGTCCTTGGTTAAGAGGCTGGCACATTCCGAAGCCCATGGCAAGAGGGAATAAGACTTAAAATCACATGAATTTAACTAACTTCTTCTCGTTACCAAGAGATAGCCCTTTCAAGCATTGAAACAATCCGTCAAAAGCAGTGAGCATTACAATAACCCCTTAAAGAGTGGTTATTTTAATGCCCACTTTCCGCAAACAAATGTGCACTAATGAGATGCACAGAGTTATTTTCACAATTCTCAGCTAAAAGACTGAAGTCTCATTTGAGATTCCCTCTTGGAGAGAGTACGTAAAAGTCCGCTAGGCAAATTGAAGGCACTTCCGTATCTCCATCTCCATGTAGATGGACCGATAGGAGGCGGACTTGGCTTTATGATTAATTTTAAAAAAAACTTGCAAAAGCAAAATAAAGTTGAAGATGCATGGTTCTTTCCTCAAAAATTCCCTCAGTGTGACAATGATTAAGCTTTAGGCACAAATTACTGACTAAAAAACGGTTTATTCGTAGGGGTCAAACTTGCTTGCAAATTGACAAGGTTGGTTGGTTGTCGTCCACTACATTCAGATAAAACTGCATTAAAAAAGAGCCTCCTCTCCGTACTGGAGTAGATGTCACTAACGATTTTGTACACTATCAAAGTAAACGTGTCACTTGAAGTGGCGCATTGCAGTTTTTATCATCTCAGCTTTTTTTTCGCATTTCATCAATTCGGAGGATCATATCTGCTAGTATTCCCTGATCTTCAGTTCATTGGTTCAAATTTCATTTCACCTGTCTTGTTGTGACTGCGACAACGGTTGCAGGCACTAAATGTGAGATTTCATAAGCGCATAACTCTGACTGACGTTTGCTTCCTGACTCCAGACATGAACACTTTGCATAACTACGGCAGGCAGGCAGGCAGGCAGACAGGCTAGAGGCATGGAATGACAATTGGGATACTGAACAATTATGGAGCCTGGTTATTGTCTCTTGCCCCCGCCTTAACCACCTCCTCTTGCCCCGGAAGGAAACTTTCTTACTGAAGAGAAGTCAAAGGTCAGGACAAGCGCTACCTGATGATGGAAACTTAGGTCCTCCGTCTGATCAGTTTTTTTTACTTATTCAGCGACTTCTAGATGGATTGTTTAAAAAGGTATCAATCCAAAATGTGGTACCAGAGGTTGCTTTTACTAAGACCTCGTTGTTGCATCATTTCATTTGTGTCTTCTGACTGACACAAAGATCGCCGGTTTGGGTGTCGGTTAGGAGATTCTAACTATCCGTTCACTGCCTCCTTCATTCTGTAGTACGATGACTCTATTGAATCGTCAAAATTACCAACCTTTTCACAATTGTTATTTGCACATGATTGGAGGTGGGTTGTGGATTTGTCACCTCCCGAACTTTGGTCACTCGTTAGACTGGGGACTCAAGACTTGCTCCACTTGTGACTGAATAGAAAATTTCGTTTAGATCACCCAAATGTTGCATAACCGATATCTGAGTGCCTTGAAGTGGTAAGTGCGAATTGAGCAGACGTGTGACTTCTTTGTCCTCCTCTACAACATGAGCACTGACTATGTGTAAGAAGTAAAATGAACTCAAGCCTCACCTTCATTCAGACACAACTCATTCACTTCGTGAACTGAAAGTGCCGATTAGCAGTAAACGCTGATTATTCAAGACCACTTCTTAAGCGAATGTAGGAAAAAAAATCCGTAAAATGCGTTTTTAATGGCCTATAAGACCCATAATAGTGATGAGTGTCGAGGTTTGGCACAAGCTGTTCAGATTGACGACAAACAGCTCAACGCTTCTGACGAAATAAGAAGTGTCCTTTAAAGACAAATTATGTGTGGAATGGATGCACTACAGAGCGGAAGCCTTCATTGATGAGTCATTCCCTTCCTTGCGTAGTATTATCGTGCTTCTCTCGAGGTCACAAAGGTCATTTATGTGTGTGTGTGTCGGTATGTACGTGAGAAATTGCATCCACCGCCCTGCTGCGGTTGTCCTTAAGCGCATATACACCCAAACTGTGTATTTGTACGGATTGTGAAAGAAAATCCATGCATTGCGAGGCTGCCTTGTGGGTTATGCCGATCCCGAGTGCACTGACTGCAATCTTCCTGACCATCCAACTGACTGTGATTGCATGCTTGTGTGTGTGTATGCGGCACAGAAGGAGACTTGACTGATTACTCCTGATACACCGTAGTGTAGCCCACTTCAGTCACCACGATGGGGTCCAGACGGTGTGACGCCTTTGTGAATTTCTATGGCCCAATCAACTTTCAGCTTATTTTGCTCTCCTCGTCGGTAGGGCAGGGGATGCTTGAAGGCCCCTGCATTGTCCCCTTACAGGCGGCATGACCTTTCTCGAGGTTAATGGCCCTGTTTTCAAAGGCTGAGTGATTAAGGTAAGGCCAGAGAGGAGGCTGTAAACAGAATGCAATGGTCAAAAAATGACGTCTAATCTCCGAATGCCGTGAACCTTTTGAAAGTTTCCTAGAGAATTGTTTGCGTTACCTGTATATAGGTGTCAATTAGGTGAACACGAGATACTTGTTCTGGTTAGAACCGACATGGATATGAACAAGCATCAGTAAGGCAAGAAAAGAGGAGATAAGAAGAAATAAAACCCTAACTACCGCCATGGAATGTGACAAAGCCTGTCATTTGTTTAATGACCATACCTTATGGCCAACGCCCCTTCGATTATCAAGAAATGTATAATATGTTCATAACGTTCCTTCTTCTCAGCCCTGGTTTTCATCCCTAAGAAAACTTTAGATCCAGGTCGACTGCAACAAGGTTCTGATCAGTCACCTTTTGATTGAGTAAAAATCTAACTACTAGAATAGCTGGCTATTGTGATGGCTGGGGTGGGAGAGCAGCCTAGGCGAAAGTCAAGGATGATTATCAAAAGTGGAGGGCAGCTACGCGGCGCTTTGCTCATTAAGGCTCTGGCGTTGGGCCTCCTGTGGGGAACGTGGATTTAGTGCTATACGGTCAGTCCCATTCCGTCCAAATTCCATGACCCTTTTAGCCATCAGGACGATCTTAAGGCCTTGCGGAGACTGCCCGGACAAAATACGTCCGCGCTCTTCGGAGGCGTTTTTACTGAGATTGTTTAATCACCACCTTGGGAAGGTGAACATCCACTCAACTCTTGTTGATTGCATACGAAGTTTTAAAAACCCTTTCATTTTGCAGTCAGCGGTAGGAAAGTGGATTTTAAAGTACACTGAAAGCCATATTTTTTTAGCTTCTCTTGCTGAGGGGTTGAGAGTTTGAGGTTACCTTTTTTCGGTGCTTGAAAACCCGATGAGTGCTTGTACTCGCCATTGCTTCAACAGCACCACAAAGACACCAACCTATTTTTTGCCAAAAGAAGATCGGGAAAGAGATGAAGAATTGGTGGAGGAAACAGTTCCCAAGCACAGCATCACAACTTCGGTAGCCCCCTTTTCACCGTATTTAATGACTCCTTTTGCTTCCCCATGCCTCCTCAACCATTTGTCATTGGGGGGTGCGCAATTTAAGGCGCATTTGAGGATACTTGTACTACACAAATCCCTGAAATCCCTTCTTACACCTCTATGAGGTTAAAATGAGACTCAGACTACCTTGGTTGAAGGGAGGACCTCGTCTACCTGCCACCTGGAATGCGGAAATAATGGATCGGCACGTTTCATAATCACCAAGTCGGAAAACATCACGAGTGTAGGACTAAATAGCATTTTGACACTTTACGATCAGTCCTGCCAAAAAGCGACAATCGCGTAGCTTCAGCCTCATGTACGACAAGCACTTCACCTCCTGACTACATTCCACCCTTCCCTCCAAGTACTTCCACGCTCTCAAAAAAGGCCGAATTAACCTTCACAACTATTGACCAAACATATCTGCACTTTCTAATGAAAAGTACATTGAGTCAGAAGTATCAAAATCTCGAGGTTTCAATTATTTCCTTTCCTGCAACATCATATGTCTGTTGATCAAAAAGAGACTTATCTTACATCCATTTACCTCATAAAACCACGCCCAGCTTCTTGACTTCAAATATACCTCTCTCTCTCACGACGATTTCACGTGATGATGTGACTGACCTGATCGAGTGTTAAGCATACAGTTTATTTCATTAAAAAAAGGATCAGTGGATCACAGGTAGCCCCATGTTAGGCTCTGTGAAGAGAAACACACACACACACATACACACAGGTAAACAAGTCTTGCAGGTGCGTGAACAAGAGAAAAAGGAGAAAAAGTGAAGTACATTAAATGTAAAAACGAGGAGACACAAATCAACCGGATGTATAGCATGCTCCATAGAGGGAGCCTAGGACCGGGTGTCAAGTGTGGGACTGATAATAGCATACATACTACGCACTAGTGGACATATAAATCACAATCAGAGCATGTGAGAGTGGATAAAAGAAGAAAGGAAGAAGAAAGGGAAGAAGAAGACATCAGTACGTAAGAATAAGGCTAGTTAATGTACCCTGACATTCATGAATGTGTTGCATTAAAAAAAGCTTTTTTCGTCTCACGGAGGAATTCTGGTCAAATGCAACAAGGCAGCACCCAGAACAGAGGAAAGGCACCACACAACGCCCAAACTTTCAAGTGGGTGGAGGAATTGAGGTGAATCCTGACGCGAGAATTCGTGATGTGGTTGAAGTCGTTTGATTCTCCTTTGGCCTCGGCTGAGGAGTTTCACACACCAGCCTCACTAGAATGCTCTCCCCTGAGGGGTTGGGGTAGTTTTGAATAGATGCACGAAGGTCCTCCGAGAAGATATCTTTACTTGCTTCTCCTCTCAAATGACCACAGAAGAGGCCTGCAATCGGAGCCATAGGAAGGGTCTCCATAGCAATGAGACCACATGTCACGGCATACAATGCTACTCCAGCCGTTCCATTGTCCATGGAGCAGCCTGTTTTGGCTTCCAATTCTCTCTGAAGCGTCTTCACTGCCACATCTGCCAACTTTGACGGCTGGGTAGCTGCAAAAGCAAACAATTCTTTTACATTTTTCCCTCACCAAATAACAAGCTGTCAGCTGTGACACAGACGTCCGACAGACGGATTTAAAATCACGTGTGTACGCATGTCAAAGTATATAAAATCATGGATAGTGGTGACAAGGCAAAATAACACCACAATTCTTTCAGAACCATTAAATCTATGACTCTTATTAGGGTTTTCGCTTAAAATCCCATGCTTTTCCCATTTCCCAACTGACGTGATTTTAATATCTGTCAACTAAATACCTAATGTGTGCAATGGTTGTAAGCACAGCCGGATAACATCTGTCCTGCTAATGGAATGCATGATCGACAAGTCCTTCATCGTGAAAAAAGTTGTTATTTTTGTTGGGGATTAAAACGGGAGTGGCGAAAAAAAACATAAAAGTACACTTGTTCCTTTCCCCAAGGCTAGAGAGTGCCCCCCGTACTTGTTCCCACTGCCTCTCCACCACTTTTCCTACCTTTCAACGTCCAGAAAAGACGAAAAGAACGAGACACATTTCAAGGACGCAGAGATTCTCGTTCACCTCGTGGCCTCGCCATTGGCTAATGCCAGAGGCAAGTGCGTGCGTTTGGGCGGGCGGGCACTTGGCCAAACGACGGTCGCGTGGGCATTTGCTCGAGTGGCCCGATTACTGGACAATGGCGGGGGAAGGTGGGGTGAAGGGGAGAGTCAAAAAAGTTGTTGATGTCATTCAAAATGATCAACACAACACAGCCACCCACGCTCTATCCTCAGCAAGGGACAGGGACTGAAGGCTGGGTTACCAAGCTCACGACCTGGTAGTGACTCAAACCGCATAACAATCTCGTGTGCGGGAGTAGACAGGGAAGGCAGAACTTAAGTAAACGAAAGCGTGGATAGTTGGTGGCTAAGCAAGATCACCGACCCCGAACTTATCATCCAGTCGTAGATCCAAGCCATCGGTGTTGCCTTAGGGGTCACATGCAAAAGGTAGGCACAAGAAAGACTCTCGCCTAGCCCAGTTAGGAGAGAGAAACACATACACATACACACACAAGAGTCCACAATCGGGAACGGCGAACCGAGTTCGTGTTCATGCCTGCGAATACGCTTCAACAGTGGATGATTCACTTGATGCTTGAATCAATTCTATGAAAAAAAGTCGGGCGCACGCCCGCGCTCATTTTCACAGGCGGGGAGACACAGACGACGCCTCCGCCACTTTAGATCAGAGCACTCCAAAAACGGCACTACTGCTGCCGGACTGACGTGTCTCTTCTCAGTCGGCACTTAGAGACTCGACTACATCAATAGTGGTAGTGCAGCTTGGGGGGAGGGATGGAAGTGGGAAAGGGGTTAGCGTTGCTTGATTGTTTTGTAATGGACAAAAGGGAAAGCAGAAGAGCGTCGAGGTGTGAATATTTCGGACTGTCTAATCGAGGGCTGTTTGCATCACGTGAGGCGGCGGGGTGGGTAAACACATCCACCAAAATGTGAAGCTGCAACAACCCACTTTTTGGCCATTTGCAAGTGCCTACTGACAGGAGAAAAATACCTCCAATGATTCACCTCGTGCAGAGAGATCAGATCCACAACAAAGTAGTCTTCAATCGGCTAAGCAGAAATCAATGCGCCTCCTAACACCAAACACTCACTAAATCAACGACTAAAGTGACCGTCACTAGTGGATTGTCAAGCGTGTTCCTTGGCGGCGTAGAGCATGCGCTGGACGACTCAAGGGAAAGGCAAAAGACCAATCAACATTGGACACAATTGGCTAGAGTGAGACAGTAAAGGCCAAACGACCTGAACACTACCTACCAGTGTAAAGAACAGCATTACGCAGGATTGTGTACTCCTTGGTAGAGAGGTTTTGCCTCCGCACCTCATTGATGCAGTTGAGAACCCGCTCAGCAAACTCTCTGGTAGGCACAAGTTCACTAGGATCAGAAGGAAGGTTCAGCCACGGTAACAGCGGCTCTCCATCTGTCAGATGTTCAAGGGCGTGAGGCGATTCCACCACCACCACCTCCACAGCATACTCAGCAATTGAAAGTACGAGCAAACGATGCCAAGTGGCTTTGTATACATCCCACCAGTGAGTGGACAAAAGATTGCTAGAGTACACAAATTCTGCAGCCAAACGAAGAAACTCGGAGACGTTTCGTTGCACCGGTCTTGCAGTCTTTTTGGCCAATTGCACCGGTTCGGTGGGTAGTTTCCGTGGGGTCAAGTCCAATGGTTCATCTAGCCCTGAGTCACTGGATGTTGAGGAGAGGCCTGATGATAAACTAGAATGAAATTTTAAAATGAAAATCTAAAAGATTAATTGGATGAAATCCAAGGCTAAAGTGGAAGCATTGGCACCTCGACAGAATTTTAGGAAGTAGGCTTTCCCTTCTACAACAACTCACCTCTGTGTTGAGTCCTCTAACTTGTATTTCTTTGGCTCCGAGGTAGAAGATGCGGCAGAGGAAGATGGTGCGATAGGCTGTTTCAGGCGACAAGACGGAGGTCGTGAGTCAGCCGACACAAGGAGGCTGTAAAGAAGACCATTATTTCGAGACAAGGCTGAGGACGTAGTGGCCTGAGACACATGTTCCACTGGGGAATGTTGGGGAGTATGTAATGGTATCAGTGGATGGAGTGGTGACATGGACGACGCTGAGGAGATTCCTCGAGAACTGCTCTCTCCGCCTGGAGCGAAGAGCGATCGGAGTACGTGGTTGTCAACAGAGTTGGCTCGATCACGTGGGAGTTGTTGTAGGGCATTAGGAGTTGCACGCACTATTGTGGGGCGCGACACCGAATGAGGGTACCTGGAGGCGTCTGCACCAACTGATTGACCATCCGAATTTTTGGTACTTGAAAATGTCGCCTCTTGACCATTTATCAACGAGTCAGTGATCCTAAAGTGGCGTAAACAAATCGGATGTCAGGAGAAACGACTAACAATAGAGTGCACACTACTGATTGACATAATGCTGGTACACATTGCCATCTATGTATTTCGACTTTATTATGCAGCGAGGCAGCAAGACGCAAATAACAACAGTAATGAAGAAAGAAAGACGCGAACACACCCACTGAAGCTGACCACATCCTCAGGCATTGTGGCCTCTTGGATGCACCGGTTTGTTTTCACGCTGGAATCAACCGTTCCAGAAATCGAGAACACGCGATTTGCAGTAGAATTATATGTCGCCCACGTCCGTTTTGCGTTCTCTAGGTCACTTTACGCGTTAGTGCGTGCGTGCATGGCTGCGTGCGCACTCCCTCGTACCTCACGCATTGTCGACACAGACGCACGCACTTCAAGCGCTCACCCCTGCGTGCCTGACATGAGGGTCGTTGGCTGTGTTTACTTGTGCATGCCCTTCCATTGGTTCAACGCATATTGTCCAATCAACTGCTCGTGCATGCTTAGAAGGTGCATGTGCAGACGTGGGTGTGTGCGTGTGTAGCCGTTGGGTGACCTTGACCTGTGTGTATGTATGTGTTTACGTGTAGATGTTTTGGCAACATTAATGCGCGCATACACACCAGCGGGTGCGTGCGTGCGTACGTGTGTGGGCATGTAAACAAAGCCGAAACACAGGTAGCAGGTAAATAATGCCTCAGATTTTGCACCTCATTTAAAGCAAAAATAAATGCACACGATAAACTTATTCTCCTGTCGAAACCTGTCCACTTAACGAGCTGTACATCGTTATGGATGCGGGAACCCCGATAAAAGCACTCAAATAACGTTTTGGTTGGTTGGGAAGTGTTCACTTTCACAGTTCACATGGTTACTAGTGTCCTCTTAAATGGAAATAGGCTGTCAAGAAAGTGGGTGCTGCAGCTACTTCTGCTATCCTGATCATACATTCCAGTCTGTTTTGAGGGTTAATTCTATTTAAATTTCACATAAACTTTAATGTTTTCTTTTTATTGTCGCCTAATTGCTTTAAGTCGTGTGCTGACGATCTTTTAAACTACCAGTTATCGTAACAGCTCAAAATTCAGGGCTACCTATACATTTAGTTTTCCGTATTCTCCCCCCTCCCCCACTCCGCCTGCTATTTAAAACCATTTTTATTCGCTGAATGGCATTGATAGGTATTTTTTTGCTACTAGTCAAGACTTTTTCCTGGTTCATCTCCTCTCTAAATGTCTTTACCGCGGGAAGAAGTAGAGGCTTGTATGGGGTAATGATCCCCAAAAAGTAACTGTCAATGTCAAACTTACCTGCTTATTATTAGCTAAGGCGCACTTTTGCATACCTTGTGTAAGTAAATTTAACACAAACAAAACTGACAATTTGACAGTTAATCTTGAATTTACGGTACTGACGTTAACGGAGCCCTCTTCCTCTCAGACCGTGGTGACTCGGCTCAGCCGGGACCGATGTAAAGACTAACTTAGCTTCCGAGTCAGGCTGACGAAATTACTGCGAGGAACATCCACGGTTAAACTCAATGGATCATCAGACTCAAAAATGCCAGACAGTGTCAGGCCACTTTCATCACATTTACAGGATGGAGGTTACGACTGGGATTTTGTGTGGATAAACAAAGGGGAATCTCTGAAGTGAAAGCATTTTTATTTGCACCAAACCTCGGGTGGTTTGGCTTTAGTCAATTAAAGTCCATAGAGGTCGTTTTTTGGCATTCGCTCAGACAAGTTCAACTCACCGACGCCTTTTAACCAAAAGCCGATGTTAGCTCTGTGGTGGCCTTGAAAGCAGCACGGGGTTAAATTGGGTTGTGAATGAAGGGTGGGAGCTTTCCTCCAAGTATTCTCGGAAAACAAGATGGAATTTCAGTGAGTAGAAAAGTGCTTTTACTTTCTAGGGTCTCAGATGATGAGGATAATTTGACGCACTTATTACCACCACCCTGGAAGCATACTACAGGGCTAATGAATGCCGCTATGGTAACTTGCAGGCTGGTGGAAACAATGCGGTCTATTTTTAACCACCCTCTTTTGTACTTTCGAAACTCTGATTGAGTAAAAGGTAGGACCCATTCGGCTTGCCATGTCTCTGGCCTTTACATCCGAGGGCTGTGGCAATTAATACCAATGTTTTCAAAGTTCGCTCCACCAAGCAGAACCCGCATGCGTGGGGAGGGATGCAAATGTGTACTTTAGGTAGTAGTGCCTTCAGGTGTGTGTGTGTTTGTGGACTTATACAGGCAGTGAGAAATATTTGTTAAAAGGATAATTGTAGAATGGTAGAGGGCGGAAGTCTCCTGAGGCAGAGAGGTTATTGTTTCCCACCTCTGGACTAGTTTATGTCATAGTGGCGCATACTTGACGGCCAATTTCCTGCTATAGAGGCGTTGCCTATTATGCGTGTCCGGACGGGCTTTATGACCGCTCCATCAGGACGGAAGTCCAACCTGGCTAGTGGGGCGAGCCTAAACAACCATCATCTGTCGGATCCAAGTCATTAAAAAGGGGTCTGAAATGGTAGCTAACTAAAATAAGCTTTATTAGTTTTAAATCTGACCATTTTTTTTCCGGAACCACAGTTTCAAAGCTGTTGAACTTATGCGTTTCCTAAGGATGTCAAAATGCCCTTCCGATTTCAGTGCCCTATAAACTTGCCAGTGAAACTGTTTTAGCCAACATCCTTTTAGTGATCCTCTTCTCTTAATGAAAAAAGAATCCTTTTGATACCTATTTAGGTTGGGGCTATCGGACAAATACAAAAATACGGTTATGCTAAAGATGAAGAAGGTATCATCGCAGCTCTGGACCAGAATCCAAACTGCGGACCTACAGAAGGTCTGGAAGGGCTCTGACATGATAGCAGCGGAGGTGCAGTAGTAGAACCTTAGGTGACTACAAAATCATAACGAACAATCCGAGGCCATACAAGAGGATATGAGGGGAGAGGAGGCATTGTGTGATCCATTTCTTAGACTCCTGCATGCAAGTGCTTCTGATGGCTCCTCAGAATGCTGTTTTGGAGCGCCAATAGTCAGCGTCACAGCATACCAGAATATGATAATTAAACAGCTGGCAAATGCCCTCTCTTTCTAAGCCAATGCTCAAATTTTTGCCACTCGGAAATGGAAAATATGGTAGATGTTCTTCAGGCTCAAATACGCCTTCTTCTGCCACCAATGGAGGCACGTGAAAAGTACAGAAAGGCCGCATGGGAAGGTGGAAGATGATGAGGATGTTCCGGAGATCAGGTGCAGATTTGGATAAGCATGTCATTGCAGCGCACTCTGTGTTTTACAGATACATTTCCTACAGGCAGAATCAAGTCTTCAAACACCTTTCCTCTTTACTTACACTGCTTTACACGACAGAATTGTTGATGTCAGTAATCACGATGAAATGTACTTTTGTCGCCTTCTTTCTGGTCTTTCGTGTGATTTATGTGAAAGCATAAAATTTAGTCTTTCGCTGTCTCCACCACTGTAGTGTCACATGTGGCTCACCACAGTGAATCTGCATGATTGGCGTTCCTGAAGAGCCTTACACCAGAATAAGTAAATGCCAGTACTCGTCCAGAACGAGGTCACGATTTCATCAACTCTCTCCACATATGCTCTACCTCTTACCTGTTTTTGCATTAGTCAACTCACTACAGGCATTCTTAGGTGAAATTGACGTACTCTTTTGAGCCTCATCTTTCAACCTTATTGAGCTTAAACATATCAGCCACATTTAAGTAGTATAGGCTCTACTACCATTAGTGCATTTCGTTGGTAAAAAGGAATGCATAGTTGCCCATTTCGTTATACCGCTATGCATTGCGACTTTCATTTCGGCGATTGGTAAAAAAAACAAAATACTAAAATAGCTCAAACCCGGCAAAGCCAGGACAGAGTTTGTAGACAACACATGTTACAGGAGTGCAAACTTCTCCTTATCCAGCATACAAGCTTCGCTTTCCCTTAAAATTGTAGAAAGTGTAACCGACCATGAATCCTGATTTTAGCTTTACAAGAACTACTACAATGATTACCATGTTTTATGAGTTCACTTTCATGTCCTCACCAAAATTTCACATCACATGCAGGAGCCATTTATAGACACGCAACTACCTAATCTCTATTCGCCTGTATAGTTGAGTCGCCGAGTCGAGCGATAAAAGTGGATCTCCAGGGCTTCCGACCCTTGCTTTCGTTAATTAGCCGAGCCCTCACTTCACTAATTAACGCTCTTGTGAAGAGTTGCATTGATCACACTAAGCTTATGATTACTCCGTTTCATGAATAAACATTGCTTTAAATACCTCGAGCCGGCTTTCAAGCCCTCCTTATTTTGTCTCGGCTTCAAAACTGTGCAAACAACCATTGGGTGACTTTAACCCAATGTACACACACACGCAGACACCAAACCCACGCCCTGTGCCATCCACCGAGGGTCGAATGGGTGAGTGAATCATCACCACCACCTGACCTTGAAACCGCAGGAACAAGTTCAACTTTCGAGGGGGAGGACATCTCTGCTTAGCGTAAATGGCGGGTTTCACATTAACCCTCTTTGCATATGCAACCGGAGAAAGCAAAGCCTCGATAAATAGTCCCTATTTTTTGTCAAAGCACACTTAAAATTTATCACCTGTCAATTTTAATATGGGCGCAGTTGTTTGGCAGCATGGCGGCAGTTGCATCACCAAGGTAACACTGAGACCCAGATAAGTCGTTGATGTGACGGTGATAAATCGAAACGCAATGACGGTTCTTCATTCTTCCACTGTAAAGTAGAGATGGCAATCTCAGGAAACAGGTTAATGTAGGCGCCCAAATTTTTCTCCCTCATTTATTAATGATAAGTGCATAGTTGGAAGCGGTATTGCCTTTACCCGGACTTTTGCATACAAGTTAGAGGGAGTGGAGGAGTGGATAGAGGGGAGAGGGTTTGAGCAATGAAAAAAGGTCAGACCGATTCACTGGGGCAGTAGTGGTGTTTTGTGGGGCAAGAATTAGCATAAAATGTCGACCTGGTGACTCACCACCGTGTGTACGTGTGCGTGTGATCCTGACATTAATTTTTTTTTTCACCTCGTCAACTCGAAGTTGTGAGGTTGTCGCCGGTGCAAAAGATGTTACCCTACACATTCTTTTAAAATTAAAGCTAGCAAGTTAGATTCCCTCGCCCCGGCAT